ATTATTTCCCTTCCTTCCACCATTCCCCCCCACCCACCCCGCTCAGTCTTTTTTATGTTTAGAGATTTGACTTCATTGGTTTAATATAGTAATTCCGTATTAAAAACTTTCCCCCAGGAATCCCTTGTGTTTCAAGATTGGTGCTAAGTTTAAGTTTTGTTACTTCTGTGCTTTGGGCTAGAAGCACAGAAGTATATGTAAAAGAAATAACTGACAGGAAACAAAGTATTCAAAACAATCAAAATCAAACAAAACAAAGAGGCAAAAGTACAAAAGGGAACTCCATAATCAACTTCTCTCCAAGGCCTGGGAACACATCCAGGTCTACAATAGGGTGGGATAATAACATTAGGGTGGGAACCATATGAACCTCTTGGGGGGAGATCATTCCAGAGGACAGGAATTGAAACAGAGTAGGCACATTTCTTACATTCCTAAGGTCCTGCAAAATGACATTCTATAATTGATGGGACTCAGGACACACCCACCCTGCTTCATTGTACCAGATGGGCAGAGACAACTAGAAATAGGTGGTCCTTTAGATAGCCAGGCCCTATGTCTTGAAGGGCTTTAACGGGGATAACCAGAAACTTGAATTGCACCCAGATGCCAACAAGGTAACTAGTGCAGCTTATGAAGCAGTGGGGTGCCCCCATCATTGCCCACACTGCCACATTCTGGACCAATTGTAACTTCTGGATGGTCTTTAAGGGCAGCCCCAAGTAGAGGACATTACAGTAATCCAATTGTGAGGCAGCTAGGGCAAGAATGACTGTCTGAAGGGCCTTTTGATCCAGGACAGGGGGCAGCTTGTATACTAGTTGTACCTGTGCAGAAGCCAGATTCCAGCTGAATGGTAGAAGAAACTTTCTAACAGTAAAAGCAATTTGGCTGTGAAATCAATTACATAGTGGTGGTGGACTCCATTTCATTGGATGTGCTCATGCAACGTCTAGAGGACATCTGTCTGGGATGGTTTAATTTGGATTCTTGCACTGAGCAGAGTGGTTGACTTGATAACCCAACTCTGTTATTCTGTGGAATTCCAGAGTTAAAACATTAATTGATATGGTTTGGTCTTGTTCTATTAATGTTAATACTTTGGACACCAACAGGATTGTTAATATGAATCTGGTCAATTGCTGTGTGTTAAAGATGTGCATGTTCTTCTGGGTTATAATCCCAGTATGTTTGGAATCCAACAAAGTGTTAAAAAGTGTGGATATTCGGGGCATAAGGGTTGGCTAGAAGAATTATTGTGCAACCCTGGAATTAAAAAAAAAACATTTAATTTGTACCAATCAGTTATTGATAAATGTTAATATTTAGAATTGTGTTTTCCCAGAAAGTGGCAAGGAAGAAGTCTGTAGACAAAACTAGAGTTCTGTTTATAACACAGTTTCCAGCCTTTTCCCTCTTTTGTTGTTAACAATGATGGTTAGATTATTTCATTAATACAGATGTAGGATTTATATTTTTTGCAGGGGGAAGGTTAGCTTATCATTATGTGAATCTGCATTTATAATCTAGAGTTTTTGAAAGATTTAAAACTATACTGCATAGGGGGAATTCTAGTATTTTGGGAAATACTAGAATGGTTTTTAATGTCTATCCTATGACTGAAATAAAGATTATCTTTTGTTATGGTCTACAACAACACCTTAAAATAGAAAAAAGGAATCCTTAAACAACACACACACACATATATATTCTACAACATGACTAAAATAATTCAAAATTGTTAAAAATACACTTCTCAAAGCATTAGCTAATGATTCTGTTTCCAACTTTTAACTTCTCAGAGGAAAAGT